CGCAAGTCAATTTTGATCACACTGCCTTTGTTGGAGTAACCGCTTCTGCGCTTAATATCAGCCCAATTTTAATTTTACTATGAGGAAGCCTACTCAACTCCGGCGCATTCAGTCGCCTTCAAAGCTATTATCTGCTCGTGGTTTACAGTGTCAACGCCAGAACCCTCTTTTCCCTCTCCCAAAGCAAACATCCAGGCGCAGTTTCACTGTTCCAAGCAAACCCTTGAGCCCACCACCAGCTTTTGCCTCATCCTCAATTCACCAAGTGCCATCGCGCCCTCGTCGTATTGTAGTAGGGATCACCGGGGCCACAGGAGCACCATACGCCATCGCTTTGCTGAGACTTCTGCGTCAACTTGGCATAGAGACGCACGTTGTCATTAGTAAATGGGCGTTAGCGACTCTCAAGTACGAGACGACCATGACTGAAGAGCAGATCCGTTCACTAGCATACGCCAATTACACTGCAAGAGACGTTTCAGCCCCCATCGCATCAGGTTCATTCCAGCATGATGGTATGGTCATTGTGCCCTGCAGTATGAAGACACTCGCAGCTGTAAGAAGCGGCTACTGTGATGATCTCATCTCCCGGGCGGCGGATGTGACCTTGAAGGAGAACAGGCGGTTACTCATGGCTGTGCGAGAGACACCGTTGAGTGATGTCCACTTGGACAACATGCTGTTCCTACGGCGAGCTGGGGCTATCATATTTCCGCCTGTTCCGGCGTTCTACACTAACCCTGACAGTCTGGAGGATGTAGTTGATCAGAGCGTGGGCCGCATGTTGGACTTGATGGGAATTCACACAGATGGATTTGAGAGATGGGACGGGTTCAAGAAGAACAAGTCAGTAGTGAGACCAGCGCAAACTAACATAGCGTCTCATGCCTAATTCCATTCATAATCTACTTGATCAAGACTGCCATAGAAGTGAACCGGGACTAAGAGTAGGCCATTTGTCCATAGACATTGGAAACTGACCAGATCCGAACCAGGGCATCGAGTCTGAGGAAGCTGGTGAATTAATAGCAAACGGCAAGTCGTTCTCCATATCCAAGAATGCTGAGTCAAGCAGCTCCTCAGTTGCCCTCGAAAGCCTCATTGACTGAGCCTCTTGCGATGTGGGGATGTTCACTGACACATTCCCATTTTGCTGCAAGTTCTGAGCTACCATGATCGTGCCTGTGGACGGCTGATTCTGACCATCTTGCGTGGGATACTCATCCGGACTTACGACACCCATTTGCACCAGTAAATCCCTCATGCCCCCAAGTCGTCTCTGTAATCTCCTCGCAGCTCGCGAGGACTTACTGTATGTACTGGACAGTAGGTACGCGTTCTCGAAGTTCCTCTTTGCCTGTTCGAAGAAGTTGTTAGGTAGAGCGTCGTTAACGCTGTCACGATTTCCCTGAATATATGCCAGCATGAGGAATAATAACGCACAGCCAGCAGCGAGAATATGCTGGAACGGCGGGTGTTGCTTCTGATAGACATCCGTGTAACGGTTGAGTCGCGTCAACGTGTCAACGATGCAGTTCACCAACTCGATGCCTGGCTCAATACTACGTTGACTGACGGCACTTGGCACATTTGTGAAGAAAAATGGTCGAAGAAGAATTCCACGAACAGCGTGGGCACGAAGATGCAGAAGTATGGCCCATGCTGGAGGAATCGTCGCATTCGCATGTTCCATAGTCTGTAGTGGACCAAAGTCGAATTTGCCCACCGACTTCTTTCGCCATTGCTCGATTTGAAAATTCATAAATTCAAAGTCGTCATTGTCTTCGCACAAGGTTCCCTTGGCGCCGCGTATTATAGGTTCGCTGAATTTGTCGCTGATGGCAGTGAAGGCCGTCATGGCCATGAGGTACGGGTTTTTGAGCTGTCGGCCACATTAGCTACTGAGTCTAGGAATCCAACAGGAATGATCGTTTACCCTTTGTCGCAACTCAGTGTCAAATTCCCAATTACTGAAGTTTGTCGGCAATCCTGTAGATGCGCTCCATTGCCGGTCAAGAACCTGAATCGTGCTGACGATGACAGCGTGTTCTTCAAGATCAGCTTCCGCTTTCACAACATGTCGTAACACGTCGTTGTTATGCAAACCAGACTCCATAAATGTCCGACCAGCAAGTCCACACATGCGCCAGGCATACCGGGGCATATTCTTATAGTAGTGAAGAAGTCCTACTAAAAGTATGGTCACTATATGCTTGATGGTTGGCATCGGTGAGACAATCTTGGCATTGATCAGGTCCTTGCAACTCAGGTAGAGTGTCTCGGCAATTCGCAATGACTCTGATCCAGGTAGCGTGGACTCTACACAAAGAGCCACGGCAATAGCAAGATTGACGACGATGAGATCCTCTTCATCCACAGCTGATAGAATGCAGTTATTCGACGAGGTTTGCTTGGAATACCAGTATTCCACCGTTTTGACGAGTGATGGGGCATCGACAATGGGGTGGTACTCGCATATTGTCTCTTGGAAAACAATAAGCAGAGAGTTGACCTCCCTGGAGCTGAGGATGTTTCTGAATAGCAGTAATCTCTGCTGTCGTGGCAATGACGATATTTGCAGCTGAGTAGGTCGGTTAAGGTTCCCAAACTGATCGATCTCAACATCCTCATCGTCAGATTGGTTCTCTTCGATGCTGACAGGAAGTGGCTTCTCCGCCTTGGAAGCGGCACGGTTCAATATCTTGCTCTGGGCGAGGTTGAAGCTGTAATCTGGGCTTGTTGGCCCGTAGAACTTGCTGTTTCGGCGAGCTTCCTTTGTCCCGACGACAGGCGGTGTTATTAAAGACTGAGACATTTGAAGATCTGGATCCACCATCGTCTGGCTCGATGCCGTGTAAAGAGACTGATGGGGCATGTTTTTTTCTGTGTTGTTTTGCCTCACTTGTGCCGCCAGAGATTCCACTTGTTGTTGGAGATTTGCTAAGAGACTTCCCAGCGATGCCGTCTGAGTTCTTCTGTAAAATTAGCCTAAATCTTTGCATTACACAGCTATCTCTTACGTATCGTTGTATTGCTGTTCTTGCGAAAGTTGCGGCTCAAGCTGCCGCCTCATCTGATCATCCTGCAGCTGAGCTGGATTCGCATCGCGCCAATCGTTGGTCGGCAGGGTATACACGCACTGCTGATTGCGGCCGACGCAGTGTTCGCAGGGATATCGGCCGCTGCATCGGCCCTTGCGCTTACGGCATGCATCGCATGCTCGTGTGGCATATCGCACTCTCTTCTTGCCTGTGCTTTCAGTTTCACCTTTTGAAGCTGCTGCTAACCGCTTGGCAGACTGGTTTTGACTCATGTTGGTTCGAGAGCAATGGCAGCAGACCACGGGAATGAGTAGGTAGTTGTAAATGAGACAAAGTAGGTTGATATTCGGGGAAGGGAATCAGATCACAGAGCCTGCTCAGAATTAGACACGGCAAACAGTGCCGCAAGCAAGACAATTGCACTGCAAGCGATCTTTATACCAAGGTGAGTTTGGCTGCTCCTCAAAGACCCTTAGATACGAAACTTCACACTTCACACGGAGTACATCTCACAGGGGTCTCGAATAATACTACGCCACCTAAGATCTTGTATGATCATTGGTTGAACAGGCAATATTCTGCAGCAACAAAGTGGACTCACAGCTGGAACACTAACAAACGATAACAGTTGCACTTGTACTTTACACTAAAATACCAGAACGCGGGGAAAAAGTGGTCCTCAAACCTACTGACCTTAGCTGGCTGGGGGAGACAAGGGGTGAAGATAAGGGATGCCACGCTACGCGACTCAGATAACTAATCAGAGACCAACAGTTGAGAGTTAATCGACAGGATGTGACCCCTCAGAGATAAACAAAGTTCAGGGCGACGAGGATAGCCGAGCCGCATTGAGTCAAAATCTGAGTCTGGTCTTGTGACTTGTCAGAAGAGCGAACTCGAATCCCCTTCCAGACAAATACTAGCCAAAACCATTCACCAATTGGGATTAAAATGGATATAATCTCTTATCTCTCCTACTACGCATCTTCCAACATTATGATAACGAGTTAAAGCGCTATCTACCAGTGCCGCTCATATCTATGTACTTTGTTTACTCTTGCAGATTGAGGAGATTGATAATCAGGGTGTTGAGAACCCGGTTTCAAGCTACGGAATTATAGCCCCACACTGTCATCAAATCTCAAGGGCCAAGAACCGGAACGATGTCGGAAACTAGTGGGGGCATTGAGGAAGCTCAGGCTGCCCTGTTCCGACCGGAACGCGCTTGGCTTTACGCGAGCTTGGCGAGGCAAGACGATTTCGATAAGGGACAGAGACAAGAGCGGGAGAAATGTGAGGAGAATGGCCATTTGACTACGTGAATAGTAAAGGAAATATTTGGATATTTGTCACTCTTATAGTTTCTATCACGAGTCGCTGGGCAGAGTGTCTACGACAAATGCGCTCGGTTTATGGTCAGCAGCTTTCCGAAGGATGTATATACATACTCCGGTCAATGGCTTCAGTGACCTGCATGTTCATCGTGTTGAGTCCCCAGTGTCTACTTATAAGATCAAGACACGTATATATTAAGAGGTCGATCTAATAGATACTGGTTTCAATATATAACCTATTGCAATATTATCTACTGAAATCCTACCAGTAGATGCTGGAGAAACTATAGGGTAATCTAGGGTAAAGCACTGCTAAAAATAGCATACTTAGCAATTGTCAAGTCGCGGGAAATCCATAGTCCGAATTTATTAAACGATGCTTATCTTATCATAGTTGTCACGTTCATTTCACGTCAGCTATCTCATCTCGGCTAACAACACGACTCTCGAAAACTCAGGTCGAGACTCAGACTCACTTTATCGCCATCAGCTAGTTGTCACGACTACTATCGCCTGTCACTCTTCTCGCAGATCATCACATCCCAAGGCAGGATTCATAATTGAGTGACTTCGCAGTAGTATGTTTCATGAGCTGTATTGATCATGCTGCGCTTCCTCAGTTGTCCTACTCCATCCAAGTTACTGTCTTGCAGTACAAAAACTCGTCCAACCCTTGATACCCGTTGAACCGACCAAAACCACTCTTCTTAACACCACCATGCGGCAAAGCGAACTCATCATGCACTGTCATAGAATTGATATGCACAGCGCCCGAGTCCAGCTGCTCAGCGACACGGAATGCGGTTCCCAGGTCTTCCGTATAGATTGATGCTGAAAGGCCGTAGTCAGTGTCATTAGCTAGCTTGATAGCCTCATCCTCTGTGTCAAAAGTGAACCACGAGACGCTTGGTCCAAACGACTCCTGGCGATACAAGTCCATCGATGTTGACATGTTGGTAAGCACAACGGGACGCATCTTGGTGTCGACTGTATTGGCCTCTAGGTCCGTACTGAACATATCCAGCGGCTTTGCACCCTTAGAGATGGCATCATCGACAAGAGCCCTGTTCTTCTTGGCGGCAGCAGACGTGATAAGAACGGGAGTGCTCTCCTGAGACCCAAACATTGCGTTGACTGTTTTAGCCAGGACGTTTTGGAACTCAGTGGCGATGGAGGAGTGCACCAAAATGCGTTCTGTAGCCATGCAAACTTGGCCAGCCTTGAATTGAGATTAGTAGGCTGGAAAGACATGGAGGATATTGAGGATTATAACCCACGTTGAAAAAGGCACCTCTTGCACAGTTTTCGGCAGCCTTGTTTAGATCTGCATCCTTCAATACAATAGAACTGGCCTTACCACCAAGCTCCATGACTACTGGCTTCAAATGTTTACCAGCAATGGATGATATGATGGCACCCACGCCGCTACTTCCAGTAAAGTTGATTTTCTTCATATCGGGATGACTGACAAGACTCTCTATCACACCAGGAGCTTCCTGCGCCCGGTGGAAGACAAGGTTAAGACAGCCATCAGGGAGACCAGCCTCGCGCAACACATCGGCAATGGCCCAGTAGCAGGCTGGAGTTAGTTCTGCTCCTTTGAGAATGGCTGTGTTGCCAGTGGCCAAGGGAAACGTGATGGAACGTAGACCAAGGTGAAATGGTGCGTTCCTGCAAGGGAGTCAGTTTCTGGTGCTCGAAAACAGGCGAAGTGTGTACTTACCATGGCGCAATACCAAGATTTACACCATAGGGCCTCTTGAGGATCATGGCGCGCATCCCTTCATGGATAGACTCTGGAATACTACCAGTAACAGCACCAGCAATTCTTCCAGCAGTATCCTTCAAGCCCTCAATGGCAAGGCCAAGAATGAAGTTTTGGAAATCAACGCCTGCTCCCATCTCCTGGTGTAGATAGTGGAGCAGCTCCTCTCTCCGCTTCTCCATGATGTTGGCAGCTGACAGGAAGATATCGCGTCGGTGAGAGGGCTTAGTCTTGGACCAAGCGGGAAACGCCGCGTTTGCAGTAGAGACGGCTTCATCGATGTGATTTTGCGAAACGGCAGAACAGTTCCAGATTACTTCGTTGTTGATTGGACTTATGGCTTGGAAAGTCTTGTCTGTTACGATATCCTTTCCGTTGATAATGAGAGGAATGGTCTTGCTGGTGGAGAAGTTTCGTGACAAGGGCGACCTGGCTCTGCGCAGCACGCGCCGTGGTGTAATGAAGCGATTCATGATGTGTGAATTACAGGTAAAACTGGCTCTGCTGAAGCACTTGTCAAGATTGACGTCAATTTCATTTACTTGACTGGCAAATTCGCTCAGATAACATGAAGTGGAGAACCGTCATACGCCGTAGACGTAAACCCGTATAAACAACCATAAAGGTCATACTCACATGTGATTATTCACGGCGAGTGCTAAAAATGGGCGGCGCAGCTCCGATTCCTGGTGAAGGCCGGTCGGATCCTACGTTAGCGTATCGGAATCAAGGAGGGAGAAACGGCATGCGTTAGCGTGGTCTGCCCCGGATATCTCGAGAGCGGCACAGAGTTCGGAATTTAGCCGGTGAAAGATGCCTTCCTATCTTAGCGGTCTTGTCTACGATCAGGCTGGATGGTCGTTAGACGGACTATCGGGGAGCCATCTCTGGATGTGGTGGATGAGGGAAATGAACTTGGCTCCGGCTCTTGGCGAATGCTCCGGGCTAAGTGTGACATCTGTGGTCCCCAATGCCAATTACTGACTGCGTTGGACTAGCAGAACTGGAATAGTAAGTGAAATGAATCGTGACATTGAGACACAGACATCGATAGTGGCTAGAAAGCGTTTTGGGAGGTTCAGGCTAACTTGAAGTCTAAGAAATTCTTACCTTTTAGCACGAAGATCTTCATATTTGTGCAGGACTTGAACTTTGAAGATGAAGAAAAGCAATTCTTTATTTTAGCTGAGCATAAATTCACTGAATGATATCGTCTATGGCTTATCCCACGATCCCTTGAGGCGAACCTCCAAAATAGCAGAAACACCATTCTTGACGTGCTGCACAGCTTCGGGTAACAGTCTATCTAGATCATCAACAGAGTCAATGACGGCAGCCCACGCCTTGTTGCCAGACGCCGCCTTCGCAATGCCCGAAAAGTCAGGCGTTGGGTCAAATGAGATGTTGAGGTCCTTGTTGTTAATCCTGGATCCGTAGCCTGTCGGGTGGACAAGCTCCATCGAGACGCGAGGAGCGTTCCATCCTATAATGACTCATTGTTAGAGATGGTTTCAGTCATATTGTAATCCTTCATCATGTGCTTACCTTTGTTGCTTAACACTATTGTGAGAGTGGCAATCCTATATCTGCTGGCAACCCAGTATACTGTGCCTGGGACGCCAAACAAATATGTACCGTCACCCACAATCTGAGTGACAAAGTTGCCTTTGCCCTCTCCTCCAGCTAGGTAGTCAGATGCCAGTTTGACGCCTAAGCTGGCACCGCCAGACCATCCGAGACCACCTCCACCGTTACCGAGGATATGACCTGGCTCATTGACCTGCAGCTGCTCATGGATGAAAGGCGCATTAGTGATAGTCTCGTGACACCAGATGGTATCCTTGGGGCATAGTCGTCGTAGCTGCGCGCAGAGATAAGATGTGCTTGGAGATGAGGTCGGGTCTTCGGGACGAGCAGCAACTTTTGCGGCCTGGTCGAGGAGTTCTTTGTGCTCTTCAGCCAACTTGCTCCAGCGCGAGATGTATGGCTCCTGGCTGGTCAATTTGGAGTACTTGTCACTCGCGCGCACGTATTCGTTGAGTTGCTTGAGGGCAACACCAACGTCAGCACGATAACGTCGAGTAGCAGGAATGTAGTACAGGGGCATATTGGACTTGAGCGGATCCAGGTCAATGTGGAAGATTTTGGCATCCTCGCGCGGCTTGCACTTGGTCGGGATCCAAGTCACGTCGCAGTCGAGAATTAGGATAACATCGGCCGTCTCAATAGCCGGATGCCCTCCAATGCGGACACCGACTGATGCGCGATGGCCAAAGGGGAAAGACAGTGAACTGCCCATGGCATCAAGAACTCGGACTCCAGGAATGCTTTCAACGAGCGTAACAAGCTCTGGTACCGTGGAAGGATTGCGACCAGAGTACCCGACCAGAATCAGTGGCGACTCTGCCTCAGCCAGGGTCTTGATGATGATCTCTAGCTCTGGCTGTGGAATAGCAGAAGGCACAACAGGCTGCCATTCCTCCTGCTTCAGAGAGTACGCAGGGATGTCTTCTTCCATGACTTCGCGGGCACCGACCATGTAGACGGGGCCGGGAATATCACTTGTGGCAAACTGAAGAGCCCGGCTGGTCAGCTGCTTGATGTTCTTACCCGTCTTGAACTCTCCAGCATAGCGGCAATATTGAGCGACGATAGCTCTCTGGTCGTGCGCATCCTGTAGCCAATGGATATGCTCAGTGCGCGAACCCCTCATCTCACCCTCGAGGGTGAATGGGGAGAGTCCGGCAAAGACAAAGACAGGAGTACGAGAACAGGAGGCGTTATGCATGGCACATCCTAGCATTTGGGTGCCGACGTCAACATGTACGAGCACGCATTGGGGTGTGCCAGTGACACGGGCGAATCCATCAGCCATTGACATAGCCACGAACTAACATCTAGGAGTTAGAACGATTCTGTTTCGTGGACGGGGAATTGAACAAGCATACCTCATGAGGACATGTGATAACCGTGGGAAACTTGACGTCGTCTAGCTCTCTCGCCTTTGCAAGCGCCTCCATGATGGCAGGATGGTCTGATCCGAGGTTGGCAAAGACATAGCGAACACCAGCCTATAGCAAAGCAACTCAATTAGTCTATTGTTCATTGCCTGAGGCATTGTAAATAGTGCCAACACAGTAATATCTTACCTCGTAGAGGGCTTCAAAGAAGGCAAAAGACGCAGAATAGGTTGTTCTATAACACAATGAGTCAGCCACAATGGTCATACTCTGCGGGTGATGAAAGGCAGGTCCGGAAATAATATCTGCGATAGCCCAAGTCATACGTACAGGCGTGCCATGGTTGGGCGGAAAGAGAGAAAGATTTGATGCAAGAGGTAGTATGACGACAAGTGGAGGTTAACTACAGCCGGCGCTTGCATACAGCATGGACTACAGCTGGAAGTTGTATATAATGAAACATGGTGTTTCGATTTCTAGTCGGCATCTATTGCCCTAACAAGTAAGGTGAGTGGACAGCCCTGGAGAGGGACGCATTTGGAGGAAATCTTCCGGTCGGGGCTACGATGGCTTTGAGCCGTTAACCCCACCGACTCGAAATAGCACTACGGCTTGCTTCCGAAGTCTGGAACCAATGTCTTTTCCGTTCCTACTTTGCGCGTATTGATGTAGGATTCTCTATTGTGCTAGACTAGGCTTTGTTAGGCGCCCGCCGTCCGGTTCTCACTGCCCGTTTCGGCGTCCTCTGAAGGTTGCTGGAGATTGCGTCTGTTGGTAGGATCTCTCTCTTGTTGCAAGATGTTACGCCGGCATCATGGTCTACGTCGTACGGTAAAGTACCTTCTAATCTCCATTGTCTCTCAGTCGCATGTTATGACTTATTATTGCGCCTCTCTAATTGATCAATTGATGTCGAAGCTGATCGTATCTCGAAAGTGCAAAGAGATACGTCAATCTAAGACATGGAAATCATCCCAATTAATTGAGGTTCAGGAAGAGCCACTATGTTCCACCAACTAGTAATTATATCGTGGAAATGCGTGAGCCAACATTTTAGCTGAGGTCGAGTGAACTTACGGAGTGCATCGTTCGCATCCACTAGCAACCAATGGCTCATGATTACTGAAACTGAATGATGCTCAAATAGACAACACTATCTTCCTTGACTACATAAGAGAAAAACAATCAACGAAGGATATTTTTATAGAATCATTTAGCCTGTACACGCTTCCTGTACTCATCCATGACGCCATTGTAATCTTGAGGAGTGTACGGGGATGTCAGCTCAGCGTAAAAGGACGGCTTGCGACGATTCTTGACGCCAAGGTCTTTGAGAAGCATATCAACATAAGGAACGCCTTCAAAGACAAAATCAGGTAAACTCGCTCCATAGCCAGCAGGGTAGCGCCATTTACCCCACTGCGTGTGCATCATGACTTCGTTTGTGATATCCTCCTGGGATTTACTTTCTCGAACCAACTTGTTGTCAAAATAGGCAGAGATCCACACTCCCTGCATCGAAGCGCAGACCGCGGTTGTAACAGACGAGATCATGCCAGCAAAGGCAATGTTGCGCTTACTGAGGAAGGCAGGAGGGACTATGAAGCGGTAGTTCCTCAGAGGCTCAGCGTTGGGGCGAGGAGGAGAGCGAAGCTTGGGCTGTTGCTTGAGCTGGGGGAACTGCTTCTTCACGCGGGCGTCAAACTCAGAGTTGAGCTGAGCCTGCTCCTTTGGTCCAAACGGTAGACCAAAAGCGTGCTCGCCGAGATTGGAGAACTTGACGAGAGATTCCTTCTTCCATCCTGTAGAACATATCATGCTATCTGCCTTGAGCTTCTTCCCGGACTCTAGAAGAACTTGGCCGGGCTCAAGACGCTTGACGTTGTCGATGTGAACGCGAATCTTGCCATCACGGACCAAGTCAAAGAAATCCTTGTTGAAGTTGAGAATACTGAGACCACTGCCAATCCAGAACACGTCATACCACGGCTTCAGCTTCTTGGTCTCTGGGTGGTTATCGTAATTGATCTGGTTCAACACGTCGTTGCCCATTGATCTCCAGAATGAGCGCACAATCATGCGTCCAACCGCCGTGCCATGAAGAAAGCGCCGGATCCCACCGAAGCCATCCTCGTGGCCCCAAGGGCAGGGAGCAAACCATGTCATGAAACGAACAGTCAAGGTCTTGTCAATGCGAGCCTTCAGGGGCGTCACCCAACGAGGGGCGATCCACACAGGGCCGTTGGTCTCCGGCTTGACAATCAGATCGACCTGGGCTCCAGCATCAACCATGGCGTATGCAACGTCATAGGCAGATTTGGCTCCACCGACCACAATGGCATTCTTGACGTCCTTGACCTCATCGGCTCGAGAGCAGAACTCTTTGGCATGGAACAGAGGCTTGCCAAAGCTCTCGCTGCCTTCAAAGTAAGGCATGTTGGGGGTAGAGGTGAGGCCAGTGGCGACAACTATTCTTTTGGCTTTGATTTGTCGTTCACCCTGAGGGCTTGTCACAGTAAGTTTCCAGCCATCATCGCTGGTCTGCTCTACCTGGCCGACTGTGCTGTTGAACTGGGTTCTCTCAAGTATGCCATGATTGCGGGCATAATCAGTGAGATACTTGTGCAGAACCTTGCCAGGAATGTGATCGTTGTCCTCCACACCGTAGATTTCTTTGCTCATGGGGAAGTCAGGAAACTCATAGGTCCCAATCATGTTGTTTGACTTGAGTCCTGGGTATAGTCTGTTGGCTGACCATGTTCCGCCAATGGAGTCATTTGCTTCAAGAATGGCAACCTTCTCATCAGGGTGCGTTTCAATGTAGGCTTTGGAGGCGCCAAGGCCGAACCAACCTGTGATTGCTTCAGTTGGTGTGGATTCTATATGGTAAGGGGAGCTGGAACTCACCAGAGCCAATGACGACCAAGTCATATAATTCTGACATGTTTGTTAATGTAAGATGGGTCTGATTTGTTGTAGTGAGATGGACGAGATAGAGTGAACACGCAGAGGAACCACGAATGCAAACGGACTGGATAAAGTGGGCGTCTTCTACGACATAGAATGGCCTGCTTTTCTCTTACACCATGATAAGCTTTCCTAATCTCATGTTACAGCGTTACGACCCCCCCTGCTCCAAACCAACGTGCGGCATTCCCCAGGCGGCATTTCTCAACCCTACAACTCCGAAGCAAAAAATAAACTGAAGCGTCTGCATCAACATAAGCCTTGCACTAGTGCTGCAACGGCCTTGTAGGAGGCTTCGGAAGTGGCCCCACCTTTCCGACCGTGTCTGCCGAGATTACGGAACGGTCCGAAAAGGTGGATCCGGAACCCGGTCGGAGGGTCTTAGGAAGGGAGAGATAAGTCAGACACGCTCTGCCTTGGGCGGAGATCTCTCTGAAGCAGGATAAGCAGAATATTCACGCATCCAGAAAGCTTAATTCTTCAATTGGCAGATCCATGTTGTGGACCCTGTCAGAACGCATTCATCGGCAATTGGAAGACAAACATTGGACATAATTGTGTTAAACTAATTATCGTAACTGACTGGTAGAATAGCATACTGAGTTCGGGCTTCTTATTCGTAGGTAATATGTCCGTCAATCTGCCCAGCGTCCAACCCACCCATAATCTTGATGTCTGTAGCCGTAATGTGTCTAGACGCATCGCTAAATAGATAAATAATAGCGGGCGTAAGGTCATTTGGGTCGCTGAGGCGCCTCAACGGTGGGGCCTGGTATGGCTGCTTCGCATCCCGCTCACTCTGAGTGGCCAACACGTCCCTGAACATCTGAGAATCTACATACCCAGGTGAGATAGAGTTGACGCGAATGTTGTGCTTGGCAAGCTCTACTCCGAGTGCTTTCGTAAGCATAAGAACGCCGCCCTTGGACGCGTTGTAGGAGGACATGCGGCAGCCTGGGATAGCGATGTGTGCGCACTGAGACGCCATCATGACAATGCTACCAGGGGTTCCTTGCTTGATCAGCTGCTTGACCACGCGCTGAACAGTGAAGTATGTTCCTCGCACCTGTAAAGGATATGTTAGAGAGCAAACAGACTATTGGGGAGGATGGCTCCTACATTAATTTCCTGAATGCGAGTGAAATCCTCCCACGACTGGTCAACAAATGGTTTGTTGCAGTTGATCCCTGCGCAGGGCAGACATCCATCAAGAGATCTGAGGGCCTCAATAGCCTGATCAACACCAGCATTTAGGCTGTCAAGTTTGGTGACGTCTGTCTGGAAGTAGTAAACCTTAGTGCCAAACTCGTCTTCGACGCTAGAGAATACATCCTTCGATTTGGCTTGAATGTCCAAGACGGCGACATTGGCGCCCAGTTCGCAAAGAGACCGCACAGCTGCGAAGCCGATACCTCCGAGGCCACCGGTCACAATATAATTGCGACCGCGCAGCTCGAACATGGGGCGGACATTGTGAAGCTTGATATCTGCCATGGTCGAAGGTTCTCAGTAGATGCGTATAAGGATATCTTGGTTGATTGAGATTGTGGTCAGATTGATTTGAGACAAACACGGGTATCTTATCCTGGCGAGCGGAATCCGCGTGCAAACGAGATGGGCTTGACGCTTTATGCTGGCTGGACCATTTGGCTTACCCCACACACTCCTCGGACCTCTCTATGAGAGCCGCTGCACCGTCCGTCATTCCGTATTCTCCGGTAAAGTCGGATCGACTAACTCACAGCCGCTTACGACCTGTACTGGGACAAATGGGTAGTGCATGCTCCCAACTGTATCCTTATGATCGAATTATTTCAGCAATTGCTTATGAAGAGCGTCACGAGTGCAAAACCAAGAGTAAGCATGCTCCAAGTTGAACTATCGAACTACAAGCAATGATGATGAAAGACATGGTCCCATCCCTAATCAGACTTTGCGAAGACCAAATGCAAACATCTCATTCGACTCTACAGCCTCTTTATCCCTCATCTTGTTAGCAGTCTCCACACCAGCGACTGGGACGCGGTATTCCAATTTCTCTTGACCCTGCGAATTGGGTAGTTGATGAGGATATGGCAGGTAAGAAGGCATCAAACCCAACTGCGCTAGCACTGTTCCCTGGTCCCAGCCAATGTGTTCATGATAAAGCCGGTCTCCACGGATGTTGACAACAGCAGTGAATGGTACTTCAAGCTTTCGCCCCGTGGGAGGGATCCCTGGTGCACTAGTGGTAGTAGAAACGTCAGTTGGCATATTCGCGGGTAGGACGTATTAGTTTGTAAGACATACAGCCAGTCAATCTGGGAATGGTGAGTGCATATAAAAAGAAACTCGTCGATGACTCGATCAATGCCGAGAGATCTGCTAATGAGGTAGGTTTCTGTATCTGGAGGATTCTGGAAAATGAAGTGGTCGCGGTAGAAGGCAGTCAGCTTCTCACGGCCAATCCCACCTGTCATCTAGGTGTTACGAGTCAGCTGCTATACGTCTTTATATAACGATGTAAGGGGGGAGGTCAATTACCGTAGGCACATGATTGACGTATGGCTCTTGTACCATGGTGCTCATGGTGTTTTCCACGGAGCGGTTTTCGAACTCCCAATATGTATGTTCGTCCCAGATAACTTCTAGATCAAAGTATGGCCCGTTCATAAGAGGCTTCAAGAAGCTAAGACTTCGGCTGTGAGAAACAGATTCCATGTTGTAGCTGAAGTCTTTGCTGAAGGGAGTGCCAAACAAATACGATGTTGCTTCCGGGTAGCTGTAAGCTGTTACCGCCTTAGTACGTTGCAAGCGTTTGGAGGCCTTCCCAGCAAGATGATGTAGCTGTGGGACCTTTGAGGACGCAATTGAAGAAATATCATTATCCCCAAGATCACCAAAAATGACAGCACCTGAGATCTGGGGAAATGAGTCCACATGCGGAGCTACTTGGTTCCAAAGCGGCGTCGAGTATGCTACAAGGACGTCTGTTAGCTTACCAATCGGGCTTTTCAATAGTTTGACACTTACCTATGACACCAACGACGTTCTTGGGCTCAGTAGACTTCGTAGCTTCGAGCTCCTTTAGCGCCAGACTCAGAGCTTCACCAGGGTTGGCTAGCCCGGCCTCTGTGATCTCAGCGACAGTGTAGCCCTCTTCTGCCCATTTCATCAATGGAGACGGCACACATCCGTCGATCCGCAGGGTATTACTGGTGGCTTTGCCAGTCTCGGGCACGAGGATGATTAATCCTGGTCCAGAACCCCGTCTGCTGAGCGGTTCCAGAATTGTAAGGCTGTTTGTAGGGCTGTGCAGACGAGTAGCTGGGAGAACTGGAGGCGCGGAGAAATTGTTTTCCGTCATGGTTAGAACTAGTTAAATTATGCAATGATTTTGTTGTAGTTTGCTGCTAGGCTTGGTACTGAACGTAAGAAGTGTGCTGGTCTAGTGCTTCAGGGTTTCCTTTATGAAGGCAGAGTCTGTGTCACCTTGTGAGATACGGATATACGGTTCAGGTAAATCGGATATCCGGCCTTTTCATTCTCGACAAAAAGGCAACCAAGCTGCAGGGCCAATTGGCCCATTCTTTCGTTTGAATCCCTTGTTCACGACGCCAAACCTGCTACAGCTATTCCGCACCAGGTACGGTGGTGGCATTGATACTGAGGCCCGGCGGCCTGCGTGGGCCAGACACGGTTCTACGGATTGGAGTTCCGTCGCATATGGATATGAATCATATGATAAAGGGAGTTTCCGAAGCCCAAACCGTTCCGCTCTAACATGATTGGAGATACAATCCAACCACTCATAACTGTTTTACCCCGCTTCTTTCGGCTGTCATGCCACCCGATTTATCTCCTATCTATGTGTGCTACACGAGTCATTCACTCATTTTCTATGTCTGAATTAGGAAGCCCGAAATGCGATTGTGGCAAGCTTGTTCTTTAGGTCAGATGTGCACTGAGACCTTGACTTGACTTGATTCGTGGGTGTAAGGCTAATTGGACATCCGATCCGAGATTACGATGGTTGGACATCAGAAGCATTATCATGGGAAGGTTCAACAATGGAAGAAAAGTCAGGGTAGAATTAAATTATCATAAAAGCAATCGATTGTGATTCTACCTGGACTTCAGACTCTTGTGGCCGGGTTTTCTCAAATGATGGAGCAACAGATGAGAGATAGAGAACAGTATCTAACAGAATTCGACACGACTCCTCAAATGAATCGATGATCCTAATTCTGCCATCTGAAGCCCGGATGTCGCCATTCAAGGTCTTGGATCTCCGACAGAGTCTTTCCAGCCAATTCCCTCTCCACATCCACGCCTGACCTTCTCTTGTTGCTCCTCTCGATCGCGAAATACATACAGATACCGATCAAAAAGATAGTAGACTGTGCTGCCAGGTTGAGGCCGTTACCAATGCGATACTCAGGTCCATCGAAAGGGAGGAATGCCCAAGTTGATACCAAACCTCCAATGTTACCAAGCATCACGTTGAAGGCGACCGCAGAGGACCGAGAAGTATCCGAGATGACATTTGCTGAGACATGGGCATTGGGGAATGCTCCCATCGCGAAGATGCCGCATACTGGCAGGAACGTTGCTGCATAGCGCACGTGCGGATTAGATGTTGCCAGAAACATGCTGTACCCTATCATCGAGAACGGCGCACAGATGATAAGGAATATGCCGCGCTTATCCACCTTCCAACTTATATAGCAGAATAGCATGCACATGATTGTGCCCAAGACGTTTGGCGGAACTGTAAGGAGCTGCTGGTTTTCCACAGAGTGCTGAGGAAAGATTGTGCGAACAACGGTAGGAAGGAAGAAAGACAAGCCATGTACCGTGATAAAGTTAAAGAAGGATATCACGGCTGTTGGGAGCACCACTGGGTTCAGGATGCCTCGGAGCATTCTCTTGGTACCAAACTTGTCGATAACCTCGGTTGTTCCAATTCTTTCTGACATGATTCTTCCATTTGCCAATGTCTTTTGCTCCGATGATAACCAGGTGGCAGTTTCGACCCTATCGGTGAGCGTGAAAAATGAGATGACACCCACTGCACAGGTCACAGTACCTTCAATCGCTGGTATTAGCAATGCTTGTTCATCAAGAAATGGATAGATGTGGGGTGTCTAACCTTCAATTGCAAAGATCATTCTCCATGAATGCAAGGAGCCGAAGCTTTCAAGACGCAAAATGGCAGAGGCAAGCAGGCCTCCAAATGCACCCGCCAAAGACGCCGAGATGATAACGAACGAAAGTCGAAAGGTCAGTTCACTGCGCCGATACCAACGCGAGAGGTAGTACACATTCGCTGGTAGCATGGCAGCTTCGAAGACGCCAAGTAAGAACCGGAGTCCGCACAGAGTCGAGAAATCATTGACAAAGGCCGTGCAGGTAGTGCAGATACCAAAGCCGAGACAGCATGCAGGTATAAACCAACCCGGCCCTATCCGCTTGCACAGGAGATTCAGAGGAATCTCAAATAGGATGTAGGAGATGTAAAAGATGGAGAGGGAAATGTTAAAGTCGTAACCCTGCATCTTCAGGTCGGCCTCTAGACCTGCGATTTTGGCGTTGCCTGCAGAGTTATTGAACATGCTCAGGAGTGGGTGTCTCTATATACTCACCAATGTTTGCGCGATCAATAAAACAAAGCACTAAATCGCAAGTGTGTAAGCTACGCCTCGTCTACGACTTTGGACTCTTGAGACGTACAGTAAATAATAGTAACCGTGGGCAGTATACGAAGATCCATCTTCCATCGAAGTTTGGATTCCAACGCTTCATTAATGGGTAGCGCTGGTTGACCATATCTGCAACTATCAGTACTCTCTTCCATTTCTCCTGGATTTATCTTAGCGTCTTACTGGTGTACTGTGCCCTCCTCGATATCTTGCGTATCTGAAGACTTCTCGAGGGAGAACGGGGTTTCAGATTTAGGACGTGGGGGCGATGGCTCCATTTTGGCAATAAGAAAAGACACTTAACAGAAGTTTAGTGAAGTGAAGAATAAAGTTTTAGAGTTTGGGGCTGGTTTCGATTTATATAGCTAATCTACTGGATCAATATGCTGCAAATGGCAATGTTCCGATACGACGGAAATAAAGGTAGTAACGGAATTAGTTAATATGCTTGGCATTGTTAATATCACGCACTTGTTTAAGCAGTGTCTTACCCGATATACAGTCGGATAAGGGCATGCGGAAGACGTTGATGTGCCACCGTTCCGAAGCTTAGGAATAAGATAGGAAACACGGCAAAACTGCTCCCTATCTCGTCTTTTACTGCATAAACAATAGACAAGAAGCAGATAAGGTGAAATGCTCACCAAGTACATAGGGCGGCAATTCACAAGGCTTTGTTTACCATGTGGATACTGCTTCTATAGTTTGCATATTTTTCATTCTGCAATATTCGACGCCAAGGAGTTCTCGGTAGTAAGTCATCTTCACAGTAAGTATTGACTTAATGATCTTCAGTCCTATGTCTAATTTCTGGTATGTTATATACTGGGATCCAGTGATAGATGTTAATGCATAGTATCTTACAAATGACTTGACTGACTTAGCTGCCTAACCATGAACAATCCATCTTCTGACTACCAATTGCCCATACATACGAGCAGGGGCAAAGGGATTTAAGATTCGTGCAACACTTAATAGTATTCTAACTATATCCTTAGCATACCAACCAACGCGATAAATGAAATCTCAAAGCAAGCCCTGGGACCTTCGCAGCTCTGTCCGTATTTACTGCATCCCGAGCCCTTCGTCCCTTAGCTCAAATCAGCCATTCATTCCGTCAAACAGTAGTCGGAAAGAGACACGACCTGTTGTTAATAGTACCAAAGAGCTTAAATTTAATACCATAAGCTTTTAGACCCAGTCGTAATCAGAATCCTCATCTGATATTGTGGTGTCAGATACAAGACTGCTGATATCACTCTCGGCACACCCCCGGTCACGGTACCGAGCCCGTCGCTTAGCCCTATCTTTCGCTTTTGCAGTTTTCTCCCGCTAGCGTTGAAGATTCTGCTGCTCTAGCTGCCGTTGCGTTCATCGTCATGCCACAGGCTTCCAGCAAGTCGTGCAGACCCATCTATTCTCGCTAAAGATTCCGTGGGCAAGATACCACGCTTGTCACACCAGCATCTAACGAATACCTCGCCTCCTATGCCGATTTTATAAGCACGATTATATCAAGTAGTGCCTGAAGGTAGGTGCAATCCACAATCAATGCAAAACCGTGATGTGGCTTTGCTACCCCATCGTCCTGTCTTTCCTCTTCGCGTGCCATCCGCAAAGCACTCTGCTTTTCTGAGGCATAAACAATCGTAGTATCCTAACAGACCTATTCTACGCGAGACAGAAGGTCGCTTGACTGTAAGCACATTGTCTACCGCGATTGCTATTATTGTGCGAAAATGCCTGCTTGACGTATAAAGCATTAGCTGGTTAGAGCTGTCGAGTTAGTCGACGACGGCATTTTGAATTTCGCTCGGTAAGGTACTAAGCGATAGAGCTGATGAGAGCGTGGACATTTCGCCTTTGTGGTGGCACGAGTTGCCTATAGTGCAGAGGTGAGAAAAAAGGCTGGATTTAACAGTTGCGACAGTGATGTTATGTAGATAAGCTTCCCTGGGTGGTGAATGCTGGCAAAACAAAGTAAGAGATGAGGCTCAAAATCAAGTCAAAAAAGCAATTAATAAATAATACGATGACGTAGTGTTAGATCAGATGCTATGATAACGTCCTGCAATGGCTGGCCTCATTTTTCCGACTAGCTATTGTGATTCGCTCAAGTAGCTTATGATGGTTGGTAACATCTTATAAATAGTGACAGCTAATAAACTGAAACAATCTGCATACCTGCAGTAAAACCAATATGTGTTTTGTAGGGTCCTAGGCTTTAACACTACCCTGAACCGTGGCTTCATGAGTCTCTAGCCATTTGCCACGATACTGCTCAAGCTTGAGCTACGACCGTGAGCTTGGACAAGCGCAGCTTACGTATCGGCTTTTCCCCGAGTTTCAGTTGTGACACGATAGGAATTAACCGAGGCCAGCGTTGGATTGTTGTCCGTGCTAAAGGCGTCACAACACAAGACATGTTGCTTTCGCTTATGACTCATGTTAGTGTTTTACAATCAACCCACAGAGTCCTACTGCGTACTTTATGGCCAGTATTTAATAAATAAAGCTACAATATATTTATAGCTTAATTAGTTAAGGTCTGTCATTGACTCGCGTCCGGCGCAGAGGTAAAGCCGAGTCACTGATAAAAAGTTGCTGATAAACGAGTTTGGGCATTCCGGTTTTCTCCAAGCGAGACTTATTGCTGCCCATTCTGGCAGTCGTTGCCCCTTTTCGTTAGGTCCAAACTCTGAGTTTAGCCCACTTTTCTCCCTCATCCATCAATGATCACGCCAGCCATAGAACACACTGACCACAAGTCGCTCCAGGCGAGGCTTTGGTCTCTTGCAAAGTGAGTTTACCCGGCACCTTGTCCCCACTCTACAACACAATCCAGAACGCTCCTCTTCTCGTTCGACATCGACGCGCTAGAGAGGCTCCACTTTAGAACGTCTTGGATGAAATCGAACTGAACTTTAATCAGAAGGACTTTTGTGAATTCATTCCTTACTGAGATCGTTTAGACCAGTTCAAGATAGCCTTCCGGGAGTACTCCGTACCTAGACGACAATGGGTTATTGTTCACTTGTTACCCTGAAGGCCCGACTGCCAGGCATAATAAATGCAACATACTTTACGGAGAATTTTCGTCTAAATACAGGGGTAGCAACACGAGGTACTGTACCTGTCAGACTCTGACAGTCGAAGCTAGTGGTTAGCGACCCTTGTTTAGGATGAAACGCTACTCCGTATCGGTTCTTGCCGATGAACTCAAGTGGGGGCAAATGCATTCTCACATGTCAATAAAAGGATGGCTTTACTCACTTGTTCCCCCTCTGCCGGAATGCATACAGTCTTTCCTCTAATATTTTTATTTCTTCTATAGACCCACAAGTTCTTATTCCTCAGCATCTAAACACAACGTGCCTTTAAAACGCCCTATAACACAGTCAACGACTCTATTCGACAACCATTCGAACATCTCAAGCCATAATGAAACTTACACGCGCCATAAGCTTGACCAACTTCGTTGTGGCTGGTTCCGCTCTGGGATTCCAAGTTTTTGTATTATATCCTTGGCATAAAGAGCTAGACGAGAGCTTCGAGAAGCTGAAGAAGGAGCATTTGAGGGTCATGGATGCAGCTGGAGACAGTCTGAGTGAGCCGCAACGAAAGGCCCTCTCTGACAAGATGAACGAACTGAAAGCTCAAAGCTCTAGAAGGTGGTGGTGGCTCTAAATACCCCATGGAATAGAGGGCGATCGCTGCCCGTTTTTCTCTGGTTCACTTGCTTATTGTTTTCGGCAGCTTCCACTTCGTCAACCATGCACCCAATCCCAGAGAAGCAATCAGTGCTGCTAGAGAAAAGATTTTGCCGACTAAGGACAAGCTGGCGGCTGATGTAACAAAGGAGACTCCTACGGATATATCTCTGTACGCAAGATACGCCCTGGCTGGCGCCTTCTGTTGCGCATTTACCCACGCCGTTCTCACTCCCGTTGATGTGTAAGCAAAGAAGGTTCCTTTATTTCAGTTTGCCCCAAAGATTGAGACTGTGCCTCTTGTGATGTTATAATGTCTTTTCTGTATTAAGGCGGGGACATGACTGGGACTGGTCGTAATGCATAACGACAACACCTTTCCCCAAACCCACCTCTACACAATACTAGCCGACCGAGGAAATATTGTTATAATCCACCCCATAATGGTATTGTAGCTGACACTTCTCTCTTGCACAGCGTGAAAACAAGGATCCAGCTCGACCCAATTACGTACAGCAGCAGTCTATCTAAGAGTGCACGACATATAGTTTCAGCAGAAGGACCAGGAGCTCTCCTGACAGGTTTAGGTCCCACTATCGCCGGCTATTGCCTCCAAGGCGCTTTCAAGTTCGGCGGTTACGAGTACTTCAAGGCTCGTGCGGTAGACTATCTGGGGCAATCGACTGCTGCTGATAACCGAAATGCCGTTTATCTAGGCTCAGCTGCAGCGGCCGAGTTTCTTGGCGATATTGCACTTTGTCCATTCGAATCTGTTCGCATACGGCTGGTATCTCAGCCTGGCTATGCCACCGGCTGCGTGAGCGGTCTAGCGAAACTAGCAAGAGAAGAGGGTATCGGTGGCCTCTACTCCGGTCTGAGTCCTATTCTCCTCAAACAGTACGTTCAGCCAGAACAACCCTTGTCACCATGATAGTTGGTTGCTAACTCAGGCGACTATCGCAGGATCCCTTATACAATGGCAACATTTTTAGTCTACGAGAAGGCTATCCAGACAGCATATAGCGTTGTAGACAAGAGAGAGGTCTCGTCGATGGGGGTTACTGGTATTAATCTTGGTGCTGGGCTTGTTGCTGGATTGGCTGCCGCCGTCGTCTCTCAACCCGCAGATACGATGTTGAGTAAAATCAACAAGGAAAGAGCAGCCGCAGGCGAAAGTACATCCCGTCGCTTATTTCGCATTGCTGGTGAGCTTGGACTGCGCGGTGCCTACACAGGCATGCAAGCACGTGCAGTTATGGTTAGTGGCATGACGGCAGTACAGTTCGGCATCTACGGAGACATAAAGAAGGTGCGTTTGAATCTTGATCCCTCGTTTTGTTGTGAGACTCTATGGAGACCTTTGCTGATTTTTACCCTGTTTCAGATCTTTGGGGCAACCCATGGAGTAGAGTTGAGCGAGCAACATGTTGCTGTAGACTCTTATTCAGAGAAACTGCAACAAGCGGCTGTGTAGCCTACGGGATGACCGTAAGCCTGGTTGTAAATATCCTCAAGGTATAGTTTTCCATCCATTCTCGATTAATAGATAAAACATACACTCCTATTTATTGTCTTACTATATAATAACAACTTACTATATAATAACAAAACTTAACTTCTTATAAGTATTCTAATCTAATGCTATATCTAAGTGTTCTCTGTTCTATTACTTAGATAAATACCTTTGCAGGACTTAGGATTTATAATACTGAGTAAAGTCGTGACCTAGACAATTAGCGCCTTCAGCTAGCTTATTAGCTACCTCAGCATTGACGGCAGCCTCCTTACATAACTGCAGGAATGGGTCCTTTTCCAGCGCTTCCTCAGAGTTGTACATAAGGCGCTTCATATTTCCCGTTGAAATGGGATCCGTGAAGTCGTGATAAATCTGACGTCGAACGTCGCTGTAACGGTCCAGAATGCTCTCATCTGCTCGGCCTGTTGCTATCCCATAAAGGCAGTCGTAGAGTCCACCCACGTCAAGGATACCGCCAGTGAGTCCTAGACCACCAAAGGGGTTGCATACTAATCAGAGCTGTCAGTATCTATTGCTAGTCAGGAAGTACGTAATGGCTTACAATGTGCAGAATCACCGGCAAGCAGGATGTTACCCACGCGAAGCGATTTCGCAAGGCGCTGATGACACTTGTAAGGACTGAAAGCGGTACAGTTCCAATCTTTTGGCTTGGGATTGCCGGGGAGCATTGTCTCGAACTTCCAGGCCTGTCGCTCGAGGTACTGCTCCTTTGTGAGGCCTGGAATCTCTCCGTACGTGACTTTCCATAGTCCATCCTTGGACATTCTTGCTGCCATGTACCTGCGTGTCCGATATCAGCTTATTTTCCCTTCTTTACACCTGGAGTCAAAGACCGATGTTGCATTGCACCTACCAGTGCTCAGGGTCAATAATCATGTTGCTGTCGATATATCCGTACTTCTCAAACGGGTAGTAAGTCAGAGGCAATATGTTAGTCTGGATAAAATATCATCAGGGGATAAGGGAATTGCCCTACAGTTGTGGATATAATTTGCTCCTTCCAAGTCCACCCGGGAAACTCCATATCTCCAAACAAAGTTCGCCTAATCTGGCTGTTCGCGCCATCACATCCAACTACGTATGTAGCTTCCATTATTTTTGTTGTGCCCTCAGCGTCAACTGTCACACTTGCTCCCCCATCGCGCTGTTGCACACCCGTGACCTTGTGGCCCCAAAGGATGCTTGCGTGGGGCTCCTTCATAACATGGTCGTAAATTATCTTGCCGAGTTTATCCAATGGCAAGCATTGCATTTCATGTTTGACTTTCTCCGCCAAAAGGGAAGCTAACAAGGTTGCGATCGGGGTTCCGTCAGGCTTCCGCCAGCACAAGCCATCGGGAACGAACCCTTGGGCCTGGACATCGGGGAGAACCCCGGCCTTGTCAAGCTCTTCTACCGCTTCAGGACTATAGTGAGTTGCCCGAGGCTGGTCGTCAAGCTTGTGGCCAGCTTCAAGTAATCGCACTTTGAGCCCGGCTTTGGCGAGTCGTAATGCCAACAAGAGGCCACATGGGCCTGCCCCGACAATGATAGCGAATGGCTTCTGCGTGTCGGACATATTTGGTGAGTAGTCACTGAGCCTAGATCTAAGACAATCAATTTTGGAAATGTAGCTGTCGCTGTTCTTGAGATATTCGTGCTCTAGCCAGGGTGGGCCTTTTTATGATTCTATACACCTTATGCATCACGCATTGACCATAGCATCGCATCTTACGGCTCTTGTCAAGCCTACAGCAATCCTCGGGTCATCATGCCATGTATGCCGTCCAGTTACAACAGATACCCAAAAGAGAAAGCAACATTGGTCACATTGCAACCTTGAAAAGGCTAGAGGAATTGTGCTAAGCTAGTACAATCCCACTTATCCCACATAATGAACACGCGCCAGCATTTTCGTTCCATAGGCATCCCACATTGCCTAATTGGGAATATCTTACCCCAGATTGTAGGGTAAGCTTGATCGATCTAATCCATGATGCTAGGCCTATTGCAGCAGCATGTAGAACATAGTAAGGCCAAGAAGAGTTTTGACGGCAGGATTAAAGATGTATTTATTCCATGTTTACTCTCAGAACCTTTAACTTGGAAGTCACCAAGTACCAAACGCGCGCTTCCCAACATATTCCTGCCACTGAGAACAAAATGTCAACTGAAATTAGCAACGACAAGAAGGGAGCCTGGTACCACGCTGACAGGATCACCCTGACACCAGCAGTTCCTGTGGACCCTATCGTGGACACATTTTCTCGTTTTGGCCCACTCTTTGAAGCTTATGAATACACTGGCTGGATTGACGAGAGTCTTTCTTGGAAGACGGATTGCTACATCGGAGACTGGTCGCCACTTCTCAAGATTCGTGTCAAAGGCCCCGAGGCTTTGGCATATTTCGAATATATCTCGACCAATTGCTGGCCCAATTTCAAAGTCGGCCAAGCCAAGCATGCCATCTTCTGCCAAGATAATGGAACTATCATCGGCGAGGGCCTGGTTTTGAAGCTTGCCGAGGACGACTACATCTTCAGCAGTGGCCCAGGAACTGTCTGGGCTGCGTACCAGTTCGAGCATGGGAGACGAAAGTTCAATGCCACGTTGGAGTTGGTTACAGACGATTGGTATCTGCTCCAGGTTCAGGGACCTTCTAGTGTTCCCCTCCTTGACGAATTGACGGACAAGGGCGTCCGAGACATCAAGTTCATGCACTTCAAGGAACTATCCATTGACGGGACCAAGTTCCTGTGCCTCAGGCAGGGAGTATCGGGCGAGAAAGGGTTCGAGTTATGGGGTCCAACCAAAGATGCAAGGAAGATCTACACCTCCATTCTTGAGGCGGGCAAGAAATACAACATTCGTCAACTGGGAGCCCTCACCAAGATGGTAAATCACGTAAGTAATTTGCTCCATTTCGTTCATCAAGAACTGTATCAAGATCATATACTAACGCAGTCCGGTATCATCAGGTGGAGGCAGCTTTCGCAACCCCAACGACCGATTTCTTGCCTGCAGTTCACGCGCCTACTGATAGCAAGGAGCTCAATGATTTCAAGGCATGGTCACGAGGTATTGGCCTAGACTTTGACTTGTACTGGTCGTCGGCCGGGGGTAGTTATGGAAGTGACCCCACGCTATACCACTGTACACCCTTTGACTTGGGCTGGGGATGGCTTGTCAACCTAGACCATGATTTCATCGGACGTGAAGCTCTTAGCAAGCTCAAGGAAGATCCACCAAGAAAGCTTGTAACACTGGTCTGGGACCAGGAAGATGTCACAGATGTGTTTAAGTCTCTGTTTCGATCTGAGCCCTATGAGTACATGGAAATGCCTCGCGAGCTGCTGGGAAATTTAAAGGCAAGCACTGTTCTTGTAGGAGACGAGGAGATTGGGTTTGCGCCATCTCGATGCTATAGCTACTGGTTTAAGGAAATGCTGTCTCTGGGTGTCATTTCCACCAAGTATGCCACCCCAGGCACAGTTGTGACTGTCAAGTGGGGCTCTAAAGGGTATCCCCAGAAGCTGATCAAGGCGGTGAGTCAATTGACACTTTACTTGAAGAGAGGGTTCACTAACGCCGGGATAGACTGTGCAGCCAGCACCATATAAGGAGGACAAGCGACGTCACTCTATCCGATAAGCAAGGGAGACATGCAAGAGTGCCAGTTCGATCAAATCTGATTCTGGTCCGGGGTCTCAGGGTTAGATAGACAGTTACCCAATGGTTAAATATACGTGTTTATACGAAGCTGTAGCCTGCCATAATGTGGATGTGCCAACAAAGGAATACTGCTTTGAACTCAAAGATGACATTTCTGGTCTGCGGCATCGGAATAACACTTCCCGAAACACTTCAGGCAGCATACCAACTGCTCGCATAAGCAGGCAGTGATTGCAGTGTCATAGCCCAACCTTGCTCTCTTGATTGTTATCGGACTTTGGGGGCATCGGGTCCAAGCAGAGTCCTCGGATCTAACTTCTTGGAGGCAGTTCGATCTACGAGTCGGTAAGATTCGTGGCAGATTGCGGGGTATGACATCTAAAGTGTTTCCAAAGCCAATCAGACCGTACATGGTGCTGTTAGTGTAGTAATACCCCGCCTTTTCATACCCGTTAAAGCTGTGGATACTGTTACAAATATGCCGAGTTAACCCCTGGATCTCTCAAATCTCACTGCATGTACCTAGTTCCCTCAAAACAATACGCTGCTTTTCCCTAGAACCTCCTGTTTACTATCGTCATATGCAACCTTCTATGTTGTCTGCACCGGCCCAATCTGCGCACAAACTATCATGACGACGATGAACTCGGCCGCGTCTGGAATGTCGGTCATTTCCTTTAATGCAGAGACAAAAGCTTCATTCAAGTGCCAAACATGTGCCAAGTCGTTCAAGCGGAGGGAGCACCGAACTCGCCATGAGCAAAGCCGTTTGTCACTCCCTGTAAATAGTCAGTGAAGTTTGAACCTGGGTCACTCACGTATCTTAGATCTCCAACAGAAACCATATGCGTGCCGGATTTGCAAACGTCGCTACTCTCGCAGGTGAGAATCATGGCCTCTGGACAGTCATGTCAATGATGCTAAGAATATTACAAACAGTGATCTCGTTGCTCGGCATGAAAGGACTATTCACGCATCAGAGATGCTGCGCAAGTCGACAGCAATAGATGATTCCACGACAGAAGAGACACCAAGCCCGGTCCCTCCGATTCTTTTCCATAATAGCACCAACATTCAAGACGAGAGCATGCTGGACCCGAGTCACTTGCCGTCGACCAACATGTTCCCCGAGGCCCAGGAAAATGTCTTTAACGAGATATCTTTAGACTTCTTTGACCCATTTCTCGGTAACATGTTTGATCAATTCGCTTTCCCCGCGCTAGACGATCAAACGGAGAGTCCTGAGCCATTCCAGTTGCAGGCATCCCAAAATGACCAATACAGCACGACACATGTGTCTGCCCATATAACAGGAACTGCGTTTGAGAAACAAATGACATGCCTTGGCTTGTCAAAGCACAGCCAGCAGTGCATCCCGCAAATCATGAGCCCCCCATCCACACAAAGCGAACCCAAAATCCTATTTACTAGCGATATGCGGGACAATTGCCTCGCAGATTTGCAGTCTCGCCTTTCACCAGAGCAATTCGGGCGCTTCCAACTACCAGACACAGCCTCTCTGCAGAAATGCATCGACAGCTATATCAAAGCATTTCACATCCATTTCCCCTTCCTGCATCTAGCTACTCTTGACCTAGGAGCGGCTCCAAGCCCGCTGACTCTGGCTATTTGCACGATAGGCGCTCTTCACCGGCTCGAAAGAAGACTTGCGGCATCTCTATATCTCACAGCCGAGCGTGCCCTCACAAACTCCGACACTGACAGTCGGCTGACTTGCCCATCACTTCTGCAGGATTGGGCGAGGCCCCGCAACTCACCCCCGGTAGCTAATCCACCGCTTGCGCTGTCTCAAGCACGTGTAATACTTGTATTCTATGCTGCTTTCAGCGGCAACCCCTCAGTAGCTCGGCAAGCTCTTATTGGGTGCGGGTATATATCTGCAGTTAGCCATCCTACCCCATTCGTCGGCCTTGCCGGTGTAGAATCACGTTATATGCTGACGTTATTTGTTTCAAGGACTTTCATGTGGCCATGTCTCGCGTCAGACCTGACTCTTCGGTTCCAAACTTGACCAACTGGCATTCCTGGGCTGAACACGAATCATTGAAGCGGTAAATAATAATCACATACTTCACTCGCTATGGTCCATCCGCTAACATACGTCTCCAAGCTTATCGTGTAGTACCTTGGTACTCGGCAACCTACTTTCGATGACATACGGGATATCACCAGGATTTACAGCACTGGAAGAGCGTAATATCGAGATGCCAGTGGAAGACGCGCTATGGGATGCCCCAACAGCTTCTTCCTGGGAGGCACTCGCGCAGGGCAGACTGTGCTCATCACCTCTAGGTCTACAGGAGGCCACCGCCTCATTCTTTATGAACACAAGCCAACGACAAAAAGCCGATAGCCGCTGGATATGGTCGCCCTTTGCAGCGTCTGTTGTAATGCACAGCGTTGCTATCTCGGTTTGGTACCTTAACCAAGGCCAGCAAGCCTGCTATGGAGCAACAGGAAATCCGCAAGAGGGTAACAGGCCTGGAGCTGCCCGAATCGAGGCTGCTCTGTCAAGATGCAGGGACTTTCTGACCGCCGCGCATGCTGAGAATGAGGGCAATTGGAGTGATACTGATAACCCATTGCTCTTTAACGCATTTGCTGTCCTGCGTGTCGCCTATGGACGAGCCTTCTTCGGCGTCCAAACTCTAGATCGCTCTATTCTGTTTCACGAGAGAAGCCAGGATATGCTACCTATTATAGAGCAATATTTCAACCAGGTCCAGGAAAGGGATCATTTCATCACCATGGCGGTTACTCGAGCTCTTGAGGGATTTGCCATCCCCATCCGGACTGGAATGTTACTCATGCAAAAGACAGCCGCTTTCAAATGGAGTGTTGAGCATGCTCTAGCTGCTTGGGATGCTGGTATGGCCTCCATTAGACTTATTCACCACTGACTTCTAACTTGATCCTCCTAGGTCTTCTGGTTACGAAATGGGTGCACACGATTGAACAGCTACAAAAGACAGGCGAAGCAGTCACCTCGGAAGAAGGACAGGTCCTGAACAATATCAGGCGACTTCTCAAAGAGATTGATATGGACCGTTCTCAGGACTTTTTACTTTCTGCAGAACTTGCACGGATATGGGCAAGCCTTTTTGATGATACGTGGGTTTGGGGAGGTAAATATCAATCCGTAAGGTAGACTCATATGTGTTTGCTAACAGGTGTTGTGAGTAGTCGCCCCACGAATCGGCTGGGTTTTGCGTCAACTAGCCATCATGTTTGATGACGCATGAAGACCTGACGCTCAGTTTTATCTATCGGATAGTGAGCTGGAATGTTGAGATGGAAATCAGATTGACTGACTTTTGAGTTGATTCGACAAACTCAGTTCCATAGACGGGTATTTAATGATGAAAGATTTGAGTCGACTAATGCTCCCAATTCGTACGAAACAACTTTGTATATTGTACAATTATAATCGTGTAGCGATACACTGGTCTGTAAACTTGAGAGTCCTCTGATATTTATCTATTGAGCTCTGGTTACTATTTCTGGCTCTGAAAGCTATGCCACAGCCCTGAGAATCTGTCCAAACCAATCTTCTGTCCCAGCTCTAGGACGTGGGTACGACGGCCAGTTAAATCACCATCAAGAGATCTTTCAAACGAGTGAATATCAGCGGGAGGTCCATAGACCCTGATTCCTCCCTTTCCAGGGGTATATTCAGGGTACGGCTCCTTTCCACGAATGAAGTTGATGAAGTCAGTAGCCATGATAACGCTCGAGGCAAGTTGTTCATTCCGGAGGCTTGCACGATAGTTCAAGAGGAAACATGCCGCGTCGAATGTATGGTTGGCTGTCGATTTGCACGGACCGTCCCATGGATTGGGGACGTTAAAACGATAGATATACTTCTTGCCTGGGAAGCCATCTGCTGTCACCACTGACGGAGCAAAGAAGAACAAGTCGCCCATAAAATCCATGATAGCAGCTGTAGCCTTTTCATGGTTAGGATTGCGCATGTCATACGCCCTGAAAAATTGTTCAAGGAATTGTGGTTCATCCTTGAAAAACTCCTCAACTGTGGCTACAAAGGTTGGAACGAGGTTTTCTGTACGGTGACCCAGAATAAAAGGCATAACACTTGCCTTTGCGAATTCGTTAGCATCAAACTAGTCCCAGTACATCTAGCAAGCAGCTAGACTTACATCATTCTGTGCATCTCCCATCATGATACTCTGGCACCACTTAGCCCCAGGGAGTTTGTCCCTTGCTTCAACACTCCAGAAATTGAAGGTGCTAAAATGCTTCACGACATCACCATCGACCATTGGGAAAAGCGGAAGGTGAGGCGGTATCTTCTGAAGGAGATCTGGTGGAGGTACCCGAACCAATGCGTCTATCCTCTCTTGAGCTGAAGAACCGTTGATGTTCAGGTGCTTCAAGACAGCCTGGTATGTAGAGGTTGCAACTTCAGAAGGAAGCGGCTGAAGAGCAAGCGGTGTGCCAGCAAGGCTAATAAGCCTTGAAAACAGCGGCTCAGATGACTCAAGATGGAGCAAGGCAGCATCTGCATACTAAGTCAGATATGAACGTGATAAAAAAGGTGGCGTTTGCGTACTTCCCCCTGCACTCGCCCCGATAACAGTCACGTTGTCTGGGTCACCCCCAAAACCCGATATATACTTCTTTACCCATTTAAATGCAAGCCGCTGGTCGCGTAGACCGCGATTGGTTGGGCAACCGGCTTGAGTGAGTTCATCAGAGGCGAGAAATCCGGGTGCCCCCAGCCGGTAACTTCACGCGGTAGTTAGCTTCGATAAACCACTATCATTGCCGACATCATTTGTACACACTTGATGCCAACACCGATGATAGGCGAGCCTTGTGAGGCTGAGAACTTGACGAAATTTACCAGATCTGTCTGCGGCCAGGAGTTGGCTCCTATAGCATAACCTCCTCCATGAAGGAAAACAAAGACAGGCAGGTTACTCTTTCCGATCTCCGGAACTGTGACGTTGAGATTTAGACAGTCTGTGGGGGATGGGCTTCGGTTCTTGTAAGGCAAAGGCTGTTGCATCATGGCTTGTTCGACTCCACAAGCCGGTGGTGATATTGTCGGGGGACTACAAAATCATCATTTGGTCAATTCATCCCCTTCTCATCAATTTTGGAAGATAGTCAGGCGTGAGGGCATACCCAAATTCAGTAGCATCTATGTCCTTCTGCTCCTCGTTTGTGAACATAACAGCTTCTGCGAATGCATGGTCCAGCGTGCCATATTTAATCCCACGATACTGGGCCACAATTTGGTCCTTGATGCCGGTGATAGAACCGAGCAGATCATGCTTGAGAACTTTCGACATGATGAAGACTACGGTATCGTGGATTGGGTGACTGGGGTCTGAGAAAGTCTGTCCTATTGTCGTTGCCTTACGTAGGGTGAAGCTAGATGTTTGGCGGACAAATCCTCCAGTGGTCTCCAACTTATGACAGCCTTTATTGTCACAAGGTACACTCTCAACCTTGCATTCTCAAGGAATCATCATCCCACATTCAAAGCAACCCAAGACGGCAGCAAACTAACCCGCGTTCTAACC